AGATTATTCAACACCATAGGTATCTCTCAAGCTTTAGATTTGGCGATTTAGAGTAGGATGGTTATGGATCAAGAGACCAGATTCTATGGACCTAAAAAAAAAAATTCTTCAAATAGCTCTTTATGCTTTAAAACGTGTTGGTCTTTATGGTGAGTTGATTCCTAAACTTGGTTTGGAGTCAGAGATTTTCAAGGCTGTGTTTCTGTGTGTCACAATAATATAAGCTTTTATTTTTACCAATTTATTCTGTTTGTTTTCTAAAGAGAATCATTTGACAACAATTTAACACAGGTTAGATTTTTTTTTATTTAAAATAATCAAAATACTACAAAAATAAATAAATGGACAAATGACAGCATCGAACAGTATAAAATACACAAATGATTTGCCATTAAAATGACGTTCTAATCTACAAATAAACATCTAGACTAATTAGAAGTGAAAGACTTGGTTTAAGCAACCATATCCTAGCAAAAGCCAGGTTACGCGAAATTCCTTTCTTAATGTAAAGAAAAGAGTAGCCAGATTATTCGTGTACAGACATATACAAACAGCAGGTAATCCTGCCATATTATAATTTAATGACATATGTTAGTTTTTCTCTTTGGCAGTGAGAAGTTTAACTTTTGTTCTTATTTAATGCGATATATATTAGCTCATGGTATTGCTACATGATAAATATGTGTTTGATAGCACTGGCTCATCTTGTAACAAGAACGTGAGAGTGATTTCACACTATGGCTTTTCACACTAAGTATCACTATTGTAATAGGCATATCTTATCCTCATCATAAAAATCTTTCATATTATCTTTTCTTTGAACATTAAGGTTACGGAGTAACATCATCTGAAAGGATTATTTTCTCGAATTTTAATGATTTCTCTGGTATTTTTTAAACAAATGTCGAATAAATCCGAGAACTTTTAATTTTGTTTCTATTATTAGCTCAAAGGGGCGTTATCCCAGACGTATTAATCTTGAAACGGCATTTTGCGTTGAATCACTTAGATGCGATGTATCACTTTTTACATTGTTGCCACCAATTATTGTCGTCCTTATTATACATCAAGAAATTAATGAATAAATAATCTGCATAAATGTATGGATGTTTCTCACACTGGGAAAAAACAACGGTATCTAGAATCTTTAAATTTTGAATAACGCAGTCCTCCTTCAGAACATGGGCATCAAAAAGACCGAATTTCGAATTCGGAAATTTTTTATATCTATTTCATTTTTGTAAAACTTTGACTAGTTTTTTTTATTAACAAACTCAAAGGTTTCAAAGTGAGCAATGGCAACACTGTGGGGAATAAAGCACTTACCTCCAGCGTGCGAGACTCTATCGGAAAAAAACGTCCGTTTGGGCATAATATAAAATCTGAAAAAGCTTTCAGATTTTTAGCTTTTTATTTATATTATGAGTTTTAGATTATTTTTGATATTTAGATAACTTTAATATTACCTTCTACAAGAATTTAGCAATAAATACTCTTATATTTTCGTATGCAAATTAATATATTATGTTATATTATCATATGCAAATTAATCATGCTCCAAAATCCAGACGAGAATTTTGAACTTTAATTTAAATTATGCCTCGGCTTTTCTAGATTTGTGGAATACGAAAAAGTTCGTTTTCTTAGTTTGCGTAAAATTACCTTACTTTGTCTGTCGGCGTATTAATATTTCGATGGTAAAAGACTGTTTTTGAAAATTTAAAAACGTACGCCACCTAATGAAGATGACCTGTTATGATCAATATAATGCGCCGCCAAAGAAACAGAAATGTTAACCTCCTAAGCAGGGGCGTAGCAAGAGTTTCCAGCGCCCGGGGTCAACTGAAGAATTTGCGCCCCTTTCTGTATGCCAAGAATGGAAAACATTTCCTTAAAAGATTTCGTAGCATTAATTTGGCGTCCCCTGGATGCTGCGCCCGGGGACAGATGTCCCCCCTTGCCCCACCCTAGCTACGCCACTGCTCCTAAGGCAGATTAATCACATTGCCAGATTTTGTTCGTTTCATAAATCAAGTTTAAATATAAATATGCTGAATACAATGCTTATTTTAGCTATATACTAATTATTTGCATTATTAATTTCGTGTTCTAATAGTAGTTCCCCCTTCCTTTGATGCATGTGTAATTTCTTGGCCGCGAAATTTCACTACTAACCTCAGGAATTTTGTCTGTTTTCCCTTCGATGAAAAAATTTCGGTTTTATTTTAGGCCTAAGCTGTATTTCATGACTGAAATATTAGGTTTATGTTTTGTTGAATACGGCGCAGATCTCTTCCCGAGTAAATACTAAATTGCCATCGTTTATTCTAAGCTACCTTTTCCCCCCTTCAAGTCAGCGAAATTTCAATAAGTCAACGAAATTTCCTGTTACCCCAGAGCAGGTCAGCAAATAAGCATACGGGACACCAGGACTTTATACATATAGTGATATAGATCATACCATGCTGCTAATCCAGTGAAGAATCCCAGAAGGGCTTCGTGCTATCTTTCCAAAATGTTTTCATGGTATTACTATTAAGCAGGGTATATAAAAGAAGACTTGTCTCGTAACAATTATCACTCATAAATACCTTAGCTTTATTCCGAAAGATCACATCACGAGAGGGATTGCTGTTACCACAGGTACAATTAGAAGTAGGCCGGGACACCAAAATTTCACCATTATCGTATAGTCCCACCACATTCCGCAACAATTTTGATAAAAAGCACCCCAGAGAATGGTACAAAGCTCTCCCATCTCTCTTCCCTACCACTAACCGGCTTGTCGGCACTTATAAGCATCCATGTGTTCTACAAAATTTGAGCCAAAGAATATGTATTGTTTAGACAAACACAAAGTGTTGTGACAAAGAACGAGCCTGGATCCATCGGTATAGCAGTCAGTCTCGCTACCATTATGCCAATCGGTGTGTCAAGCTCTTACCAAAACTGAAATTTCCTTATTTCATGTAGCATAAGGAAAACAAAAATAAAATACCACTACCTTTTTTTTAATAGATACAAAAGCCACGTAATAAGACCGATGATAAAATAATTTTAGTCTGAACTGCCTTTACGGAAGGTGACGATACTGGGTTCGTTTTGCGGTCCGCTTGTTTTCAATTATATTCCCTTTTGCTATAAGCACAGAGGCTGATCGTATATTTTTTAGACGGATTTGCTTTGCTATAAAAACAAATCGTCTGCTTTGAAAAAAAATGTTTAAGTGCAACCTATATTTTTGAAAGTGTAAATTATCGTCTGCTACTTAACAATTTTGTTTTCATGCAAAATGTCGCTTTTAGAGAAGCAGTGGACGGAAGGCTATGTTTGCGTTCTTTCCGAAGGAAATTATTCGTATTTAATTACTAAAAACTGCTGTGAAAGCCATGATTTTTCGGTATCTAAAGCAAAGATAAATAATATTATCAATAAGAAAGAAAAATTCAAAGTTTGGCTTCAAGGAGAAAAATTATTCAAACTACATATCCAAGGGTAAAAACGGAATCTTTTGAATGTTCCATATGTAGCAACTTTAAAAGACAATCTGCGAAGTCAAAGGACAGTTGCAAAACCATTTAATGCTCAGTGTCAACTGGAAACACATTAATGCTGATTTGAATCTTAAAAAGGCGAAAAAACATAATGTACATCAACTTTCTTCACGGCATACCGCCGAAAGCTGAACACGTTGCAAAATTCGCTGTGAGAAACAATTATTCCGACAAAAATGGAAAAACGTTGTCACAATAGATGAATTTTGGATATATTTAAATGACCGCAGTTAAAAGAGATCCCTTTATTATCATCAAGCCGAAGAAAAAAAAATCTTTGAAGAAGGTTCAAAGAATCTAAAGAAAGTTTTTGAAAGGAATTTTTTATTGATGGTGTTTGATATAATGCCAAGTAAAAATTAAACAGAGTTCTGAAAACTGTCAACTTCACATATTATCAGGAATATATGTTTTACCCAATTTTCAAATATGAAATACCTTCTCGTTATAAGGAGTGCAATCAATCAGTAGAACTGCATCAAGACAAAGCAAGCATCCGCACATCAAAATTCACTGTTAATTTCCTGGAAAAAAAAAAAAAAAAAAAAAAAAGTGGTACAAGAAACGGGTATAAAGCCCATACCCCTTCCCTTATATCCCTCCGTTCTCCTGATGTATCATCCACTGCTTTTTGCGTTTTTTGGACTTTTAAGAAGCAAATTGTCGGAAAGTCGACCTATAACCCTCCTTGGACTTTGGAAACCTGTTCGAGAGGAATAGGACAAAGTACCTGTTTCGTTGCTAAAAAAGGCTTTATTGTTTTGGAAATTACGGTGTAGAAAAATAGTGAAGAATAAAGAGTATGTAATGGAACATTTTAAACAGAAAAATCTTAGATAAAATATTTCTGTAAATACAATGAAATTCGTCTGAAAAATGTGCGAGTAGCTTTAGTAAGTTGAACTTAGGCTACTGATTCTAGTCTTGATTTTTAGTTAATGTAGTGTCATAGCGTAGGAATAGTACTGTACTTCTATGTGTGACACTTTTGCTACAGTGCGAAATCACTCTAAAACTTGACAAATGCAGTTTTTGAAGCTGATCTAACTAGAAAATAGAGTAGATAATTTTAATGAATCATGAGATCAAATGGCTGTTTCCATCAGTAGACGATTCATTTTTGCTTATGAAAGATGAGATAATAATTTACAAAATTAGCTTTTACAAAATTAGCAAATTTGCTGTCTAACGTTAGGACAAAAATGCGGAACAGTCTGCTTGGATTAAAATGATGTGGTTCAATTCATTCACAATCAAGTGGAAAACGCAGCTGACATATTATCTCAGGTATTATTGCTTATATTATTAGCTAACACTGAAAAAATAATCCGGCAGCTAGAACAAAAAATGTTAGATTATGATAAAATATTAATAAAATAGAAGGCAAGAGAAATTTGGAGAAATTATTTGCAGTTATATATTGTTAACCAAATTTCCTGATTCCTCTTTTTTTTTTTTTTTTCCTTTTTCTTTTTTTTTAAACCTCTCATTTGAAGGAAAACGATTTGGATAAATAGAATTAATTTAATACTTTTAAAGAAAGAAAAAAAAAGTTTTAACAAAACTGCGAAATTAAATAAGGCACCTAGAACACTTTTTCTTTAAGAACATAAGAAGAAAACCTTTGAATAAATAGAAACTGGTGGTAAGAATTCAGTAATGCATTTTACATTAAGGGAAAAATTGAAATTGTTGATATGAATTCAGGGAAGGCATTTAAAACATTTTTTTTTTTTTTTTTTCAATGGAAAAAGTGAAATATCTGTGGATAAAAATTAGCTGGCACTGCGAATTGAAATGAGCCATTTTAGACATTTTTGTATAGGAGATATGAGAAAAAAAAAATTACAGGTGCTTTTTTTTCATTTCAACTTATATTTTGTCTCAAGGTTATTATGAAAGGAATATCATACTTAATTGCTAAAACGGTAATTTTTATTTTCTGCCATTTTTTCTTTTCGAGCACGTTCCAGAATTACATGGGATGAAAAGATAAATTCAATAAAAACATTTCATTTGGCACATTCTGAAACGCTCTAACTTACCAAAATGCAACTTTTTGTCTAAATGCTCTTATTTCATTTAAAATAAAATGTTAGCTTTTGCCAATATATTACAATTATTTTACCTGATTTATTTTCTTAGAAAATTAAATATTGCTTAGAAATTTTATATTTTCTTAGAAAATAAACCATTATTCGAAATTTAATTAATTTCTAATTACTAATTACAGCTGCCGTGTTCAAGTGTTTCTTGCATCTAATGAGAAGAAGATAAATTGTTTAAGAATTTATCATTTTAAAATGGAAAATTCTGAGTGAGAAATATGTTGAAGGTAGCTTCGGGAATTTAAGTGTTGAAGCACTAATATAACTACTTAGAAGAGGAAGAAAATGTGATTATTGTCGTATAAAATAAAGCAATTTTTGTGTGGCGTAATGTTAAATGTTTTTTTTTTTACTTCTCTTGGTGTTTTGTTTTAATATTATACGTAATATTCCTTCAATTCATTCACATTCTTGCGGTAACCATACAGCTCTAGAAGTTTCTCGGCGATGATCCAGTCTGTTTCGGAATCAATGTCAATGCAGAGTTCTTCTGGCATTTCAACGTAACCACATCTATTAAAGGGAAAAAAGAAAGAGTAATTTTTACAAAATGAAATAATAACACTGATGAGTTATATTAACAGGCAGACAAATTTCATAATTCAATTGGAAATGATATACCCAAGTAGAGGGTGATTATAATAAATATAGACTTGTTTAAGTTTGGAGAGAATTAGTTAATAATCCATCTTTGCAAGTATATTTTGTGTGTCATGTGAAAGAAGTATATGAAGTGAAGGAGCATTACTCTTAAAAAATTCACTAGCAGAAACATTCTGTGAAATAACGAATTTAGATACAGTAGCGTTTTATGTGTTTAGCAAGAGAAAAGAGACATAAGTAAATAACATATCATATCCCAATAAACATTTAGGGACTATATTGTTCAGAGGGCTACCCTTACCGGTAAAACAGTTCTCAGACCTACAAGCTATTCATGACTACTCGTCGAAAGAAACATTTCACGGAATTTTCGCTTTCGGGACATCTAATTTGTTGACACAAGCTGAAACCAATTCTTTGACGAAAATATACTAGGAAGAGCTGCAAGCTAAACATTTTACTTTGTGTTGCAAAAAGCCCTGCGTACTTAGCCGGCACATCGCTTACAGAGGGACTATTTCGGTTAGGAACCCTCCTGATTTAAATGATGGAGGGAGGGGGAAATGTTTCTCGGAAAAGTTTCCTCTAGCGTCGCCTATCGTTAGATGGGGATATTCCCATAAACTAAGTATGTTTTTCTATCAAAAATTTTCTCAAAATACAACTCAGATGTTCCAGAAAGATATGGCACGCATGCTGCATATGCCATCTTCCAGTTTTGTTGTCTTATTAAGATTATCCTCGTAAACTCTGGTAATCTAAGTAACAGATTTAAAGGACCATTCGCGTCTTCTTGGGACTTTAATTAGCCGCGATATTAATTAAAAACTGATTTTTTCCTACGTTTTCCCTACACTCTCCACTTTCTTTCTTTGGTTTTCCCTATTAGAGGGATTTGGCTATGTGCCAAAATTTTTTTTCCCGAATATCTACGGAATGGCGCCGAATTGAAATTCGAGACGCGTATCCTCGGATTCAAAAAAATTCTCCGAATATACATCGATACCGTTCTCATCTTCGTACGACTTTAATAGGCCGAGATATTAATTAAAAACTCCGGAAACGTTAATTTCCCCGCTCATTTTTTCGAGTGGCAACAATAAACTATCGGCGGAACACACTTTTGGACCATATATATAAAAATATGCGCACTGGACCATGCTTTCAATGGCTAGTATTAGCTAGCTTAATAGACTAAAACAGAATATAAATCAACGAAAGTGGTAGGCTACCTAAAAAATACTTTTCAACTAATAATTTCTGCATATATCAGATAAGATGTATTGACTTTTAACTGACTATGCTCTGTATATTTCTGCTTTAAATAGTATTTTTTCCTGTTTACTTAACAGTATTTATTGACTGAAATACATGAAATATTTCTGAGGCTTACTCTTAAATACTTAAGCATATAATTCTTTATTCTATATAAATAAGTGATCCTTTCGTTGGACAAACCTTCAAAAAATATAGGTGGCTTTTCAAAGTAAAAAGGAAGACTTTAGTATGAGGTAAAATTATGAACAAATGTACCTAATACCATGTTATAACACATAAAATGTACAAAATTTCATGTATTCATTACCTTGTTCTAACACATAAAATGTACAAACGTTCATGTTTCTATTAAAGAAAATTCTATTATTTTTACCATTACATACACATTTACAGTTTCTTGAGAGTAAATAATTCAGATTATTCCCATTATCGGATGCTGGGTGAGAAGTAATTTTGGCACCTAATTGTGGAAATCATTACTCTGCTACTAAACAGTAAACTACCTTCAAAAGAGTTCTTAACAAATACCACTTCTCCTCAAATTAAAAGTCAAATACTTTAATATTAAACATATTATAACTAGGAGATATTTAAAGGTTCCCAAGTTTCTGATATTTCTGTGAGTTACTAGGCATACATTCGGCTAGACAAAAGCACAAATTTCTTAACAAATCAAAAGGATTGCTATATTGCTAGTTACAACTGTAAATTTTCTTCACGACCTCCTTAGAGATTTTCATTACCAGAATATTTCTTCTTATAGAAACAAACAAAAGCCTGCATACATTTTATGCTACGCAAACTCCAAAGAAAATGGATTTTCCTTATGAATGAAGTTGAACAAATCCAGTTGATAATTTCCTTCTAACTCACTGATTGCGATTAAATGCGCGATAGCGTAATCTCGATACACTTATCTTATCGATTAACACATTTATCTCGTGTTATCCCTTGCGTAACAGTACTTCCTTTCTTAAATACGCACAAAAGAGTTCTCTTTGCATCCTACTCCCATTTATTTGTCTGTGATTGTGATTAGCTGTTATTGTATTGCTTAAAACAATGTCGCGAAAACTTGAAACCTACTTCTTTATCATTTTCTGAATAAAAATATTACACCTGTACTGTTTTCAACTTTGTGTCTGAATTAATATCAGTTTTGTTCTTTCTGATAACACTCAACCTCTGATTTACATACTTTTTTTTTTTTTTTTTGGTAAATTCGTATATTTTAATGTGAGTAAGTAGAAAACGCTGATTCTACGGCAGAGACGCTGAGCAAACAAGGAAAAAGTCCTCACATGTGATGAGGCGCTCGTTTAGACGACACACACTTGTTATTGAGACGTCAACCTGAACTGGAAGCATGCGGAATCATCATACATGCGTCATCCTGTTCAGAACATGGACCTTATAAGAAAGGGTCTCTTAGAAGGTCCATGGTTCAGAAGGGGGTTCCTACGTCATCATTGATGCTTTTGAAAAGGGTTCTGCGTCATTATGAGCGTCGCATTGCAACATGCGGTTACATGCTCCTTCAGGAACGTTCTAGTTCAACATTTGCCGGCCGCTAGAGGGTAGCAATCTGTGCGTCTTGTGATTGGTTGCTTAGATACCAACGTGGCCTATAGAGAGAAACGCTGAATTATTTTCCATTAATCCTTCTCATATTTTTACCAATCTGTGACTGATTTGCCCTATATTTTTACTTTTATCTTCTTCCTATTATTTTGATCCTTTCATTGTTTAAAAATTAAAATTTTGAAAATTCAACTAATTTTATTTTGGTAATTATTAATTATTTCTCACCTGTCATTAATGAAATCATCAATACATGTTTACCATTCCATCTAATTTATTGTCCTTTAGAACCTTAATCTAAATTAGTTTTCTAAATTTCTCTAACATTTTCACTACAATTTTTTTTTTTAAACTACACTTTAAAGCATGTTGTTGTCGTCTATGAGCGCCTCCATAGGTCTCGCCCCTATGCGTCTGAGAGCCTCATGTTGTATAACTGCTCTTTTCTACTAACATGTAACTATGGTGACTTACGCAAGGTTTCAAAAAACATCATAGAAGTATTCTTTTCTCAAACATTGATCCTAGAGATGTATTTCCAGGTACAAAGTTTTCCAAAATAAGTAAAAAAAGAATCAAAATGAGATAATTTTAGCGCATGGAAGGGCAGTAGATTCTGTGAATGCAAAATGTTTCTTTTTTGTTTTTCAGTTTTCTATTTTGTGTTGTCCTTATAATGCTTCTAAAGAGATTTCCTTCTTAATTATGCATCTGAAGATGTCAGAACGCAATATTCGGATTCGAATTGTTGAATGCTTTAGTAAACGTACTGATGAGATTCTACTTTCTGAATTAATTACATGAACAAACAAAGCATGTTTTGTTGACAGCGTGATCGATTTTTATTGACATTTGTGCTGCCCCCAGAGATAAAATAGAATGAATTACTATTAAAAATAGAAACAGAATGGAGTTAGTATTACTCTGATATTCAAGAAATCGAATTTATTTATTTATTATCTTTTAAGAATTTTGCATTTTTAAATTCCATTAATTGCAAAAGTCAAAAGAAAAGACGGAAGTTATTTATTCTTTTTGGCATAATAATTGCACGGTATATTACCAATATACATGCTAGTATTACCAATATATATGCTAGCTAATATATATGCTAGTATAGTGAAAATGCTAGTATTTGTAGAATATTTATAAATATTATAATTTATTTAAAATATATTTATTTAAAATATTTATTTAGAAAAAAAGAAAAGAACGTAATTTTCCTATGCATGAAAAGGTATTTTCTTGGGTTCAAGAAACTCTTAACTGCCTGCAAATAATCCTCAGAAGCAAATAATTTTTTCGAAGAAAGATTTCTGTGAACTCTACTGCCTTGACGACTCTCGTGTGGCACCGAAAATGTTTGCACCTGCTTCTAACGTCACTGATTCGAAATTTCGATTTTTACATAACCGAAGCGCCAGGAAGAATTTAAGCGAAAATTCCCGGAAATATCTTTCTAGTTCGAAGCAGTACTTCCCCCTCCCCTCCATCATCAAAAACCACTACTTCGGAAGTGATAATGACTTTGAAACTATTTCCTTTGCTACCTGTTTCAATAAAGCTATCATTGTCATAAGGCGAGTGAAAAGTAATGTGAATAATACTTTCACTTGCTGGAGGATTAATACACATTGTTTCGCTTAAAAAAAAAAGAAAAATCTGGAAAAAAAAAAAAAAAAAAAGGAAAATTTGGAAGATTTTATGAAAATACCTAGAGTTGCCAAACTGGTTTTTTTCAAAGTGAAATCTCTGAAATTTAGCTTTTTATTTATTTATTTATTTGTATTTCCTTCAGGTAATCTACGTGGCTTTTTTCTGGTTCTTTCTCATATAAGCTTACATTAGCTACGCTGAAATTAGACGACGTTTTTACGCGTTTTTTTAATTAATTTCGTTGTTGGTTAGTTTATTTCAGTCAAATATTTAAATTAATTGTTGAGTTCCTACTGTTTACCCGAACCTCTTGCAAAATAACGCACATACGAATTTACAATGAAAATATAAGATTCTTATGGAACTTCAGTATAGATATTTTTTATTCAGTGCTGAATTTTTTTCACAGATCCTTGTTCGTCTGATAAACGCAAACCCTAAGGGATACTCCTCCTCCCCCCAAAAAAGTATCTTCCAAATTTTTTTTAGAAATACCTAGTACAGGCTGAATTTTGGCATGTTTTTCAAAAATGTTCTTTTAATTCAGGGGTTTTTGAACTTTTCTCAGTCGTGACCCCTTTTTATCATCGAGATTTTTTCGCGACTTCCAGGATCCTATAATATTTACAAAAATTTTGTTGGACCTCATAAGCTTTGCGCAAATCCGACACACGCGTGAGTGAAATTGTCAATTTTTTTTCACTTGTACTGTAATACACTATTACAGTTTTAGGTCATTAACTTTAATTTTTAATTTTAAGACATGTAACAATGAGAAAAATTTAAATAAGTAACAGATGAAATGACAGCGTCATATGCAAAGCAAGGAAAATGAACGTTTATATTATAAAAAGAATGCGTCGAAACGTTTTCTTTTTTTCTTTTTTTTTCCTCTTTTCTTTCTCTGTATTATTTCATCTTTATCTATTTTCAAATACATTGTGTAAACTTATTTGGTAATTTTAAAATTATTATAATAAGTTAAAGAAGTATCAAAACTGCTAAAATTTTTGGCGGCCCCGTGCTGCAGGTCCCGACTCACAGCTTAAGAAATCCTGTTTTAAAGTTATCACGCAATTGCTAATATTGCTGAATTGATTTTCAAACTTAAAGACTTTCCTTCATTCTTTAGCAGGCCCACAATTTTAAGTGACGATCGAATTTCTGTATTAAATATAATTCAAATGAATTTAATGTTATCTTGTATTAGCGCAGAAAGAATAATATCCCTAAGTTCAGAAACACCGATATTTTCTTTGTTGCTTTTCCGCATTCTCCAAAGTAGTATGAAATAAAACACATATTTTTCCCCCTAAATTACACAATTTTAATCAAATTTACTAAAATGTAAAAAATATTACTTTTAGGTATCATGATGTAAAAAACATTATTTTTTAGGTTTTTTTTGCTCATATCTGATTCAAAATAAAATGGTTGAGCTCCCATACAGGAGCTGCATCAGCACCTTAATAGAATTTCAAAGAACGAAAGAAGCAGTACTGTTGGAATGAGATGTAAAACCTGATTACACTTAATACATCCGATTTTACATTGAGTCACTTACCGAAAAAGACTATTTTTTACTTTTTAGTGCTTTTTTTCAAAAACGTATAATTTGAAAAGTTTTTAGTCCAAAGGAGCTTTGTCTCTGAGAGACTTTTGTTTCCGTTTTGCGATTTTGCGTCGAATCACTCTGCGTATGAAAGCAAAGCATTCAAGATCATTGTTTTCTAGCACGGAGACATATGCACGCAGATTAACACAAACATATGACTATATTGATATCTGCTTTCTGCGGTATATTGGTAAGCTCTTGTAGCAGAAACTTTTGCATACCTTTTTCCTTGCAGGAGGTTTTCTTTGATGAGCGACACCCTGCTGACATAAAAATGACCACTTTCCACGAGTTCACCATTCCAATCTTGGCTTCTCGGGCGCTGGCGTGGGTTAAAATTCAGTGGTTCTGTGCTTTCTCCTAAAAAATAAAAATTAAAAAAAAAAAAAAAAAGTATAGTTAGGCAAACGTGGGGAAATTTTCTCAAGATAAGCAGGAATAGGAGGTATTATTTCAAAAAAGAATGAACAAAAACCATAATAATTTAATTCTGTTTTTTTTTTTTTTTTTTTTTTTTTTTTTTTTGGTTATAAATAAATAAACTTTTTTTAGTTATAAATAAATAAACTGCGCAGAATTTTACTCTGCAGGAACAACATAACTTCATTTTTAAACCAAAAATTTAAAACAAAAATGTATTACATATTAACAAAATTACAATGAAATAAGCAATATCCCATAATACAAATATTAATTATCCAAATAAATAAATTAACCAACTTCCCGTTGCCTCCTCTCAACAAACGCCCAGTATCCAAGAGAAACATTAAATTTAAAAACTGCACAGAATTATCGGCCCTCATTTTTCCACGTGGCAACAGTTGCTGACTTTTCAACAGTCAGCAGTCCAGTATACAAAGCATTGAATGAAAAACTGTTGCCAAAACCACATTTCTAAAAGAATGAAACTATTCAAAATTATGCTATAAAATCGAAAAGATAAAATTTTAAAAAAATTGATTCGAATTTTGAAAAAAATCGCTTCGAGGTGCACTGGCTTATGTCTAGATGCACCTACATACCAAATTTCGTAGCCCTGGGTCTATTAGCTTACGCGCAACGCGAACGAAACACACAGACTCTATTTTTTATTATACGTAGAAATTATAAAAATTAATACTGTAAATTATTTTATAAAATTATTATAATTATGATATTGATAAAAATATAATTTTATATTATTTAATTTAAAAAGTAAAAATATTTTTGAATTATAACAAAATAAAAAAAATTTAATAAAATTTTTGGTAAAATCATTTAAATCCCCTTAAAAATTTAATTTAAAAAATAAATATTTTTAATCATAATAAAATAAATTATTTTTCAATTCCCTAACTTATGAAATTATTCTATTTAATATCTAATAAATATTTATAAAAATTATGCATATTAAATTTATAAAAATTAATGCATATTAAATTACTTATGTCAGAAAAGTATTTCAAGAAATTAGAATTGTAGTTGTTTGCCGAAACCTTCAAGCATCATTGTTGTTATTTTCACCCCACTAAGTATTTACTCTCGCGTCCCTACCTTTACTTTAATGAATAAGCCATGCAAAAAAGGTATGTGCATCTTGACGTTTTATGAAATTCTAAAATCATTTAATAACAGTTAAGAATGAATATTTTTTTGCGGGGGGGGGATGTACTAAAGACTTATGATAGAGATACTAAAAAGACAAAGGACGCAACATGCATTACGAGAAAATGAATGTTGAGTGAATATCTGAAATTACGTTCTTATGATTAACTGCTATTTCACGTAGAAATTTAGCAAATTTAATATAAATTGCAATTTTCATTGCCAAAATATCTCGATTGTGTATCACGGTACAAAACTAAAAGAACTTCTAAAATTATTAAACAGGCATTTTATTTTGATTTTAAGTAAACTTTAGTAAATTGTCTATATTTATTTGATCTAATGCTTGAGTTTCATTTTATGAACTTTACAGAATAATCTTGAAATTTCGTTTTTTAATACATAATTATTTTTTTATTATTATAAAACACTTTTAAAATGCTGTTCTGTAGAAATTTGCAAATTTTTTAAATTTTAATCAAAAGAACATTTTAGGTTCTACGTGCTATATTGGATAGAGAAAAAGCAAAGATAAAAAGTTTTTATTTAGCTTGAGGAATAACTCAAAAAACGCGCTTTTTTAAAAACGGAAAAGGGGCGAAAGCAGTTCAGAATTTTACACTTAAAAGTGTGAATGGTTTAGATTTCCTTTTTAAAAATAACAAAGTTTTTTATTCAAAAAATATCTACCAAACCTATTTTATTCAGCACGCAATGCAAGAAATGATTCACATGAAAAATCATTTCTCGTCAACTAAATATACAATTTGTCATCTAACAACGTAAAAAAAAAAAAAAAAAAAAAAAAAAAGTAATAATTTTTACTTAACGCATAGCTCAAGATTATAGCACAACCTTATCTTCTCCCACATCTTATGGGAGCCGCCGCTTTAATTGCTTGAAAGGCACCTACGTGTAAACCCACTCAACGTAAAAGGATGTTACCAAAAAAAAAAAAAAAAAAAAAAAAAAAAAAAAAAAAATATCCCAGCATTAATTTTTTTTAAATTACATCCGAAATTGTTTGAATTAACAGCATTACGCTGTGAATTTATTATTACACATGGTACTTCAAAATTAGCATTCTGCTGTGCATACCGCAATTCTAATTTAGTGAATTATGCTTCCGAATTTCAAGTTATTTGAATTTTAATTTAAGGATTTTAGGACTGAAGGATACTTTTTCGTCTAAAAGTTCAAATATAAGAACATCTTTATTAATTATGTATACAGATTTATCTTAGAAAATTAGAAATATTTTCCAAAGTAATAACAATAATAATAAAAAGCAGCATGCAACAGAAATTTCAGATTCCAGTCTAGTATCAGAAAAAAATAATTCATTCCTATTGGAGCCCCTTGACAGACAGTCACGTGACGTCAGTCAGGATTTTTCCTCCGCGTGGAGTTTGATTTAAATTTTTAATCTGGCAACACAAAATCGTGAAAAATTTCTGCTTAGAACAGTTGCAAAATATAATAACGCAAATAAAATGTGTATAAAACGCAATAGTCTTCTGATAGTGTTTGTTTATAAAGTATAATTTTAAGTTTTAATATTTTGGCAGCATTGATATTTTCTTAAATTGTAAAAGAATGAGTTAAAAATGTATCTGGCATCTAGAGAGATGGCTATGGTTTTGTAGAATGCAGTAAGGCTTGTTATGATTATTCTTATTTAATAATTTTTTCTTTTTACATATTACTGTAATGTGTTTTTATAAGAAGTAGATAATTCTTAGAGAATATAATTTATATGCTTACTTCAAACCAACATGTCCATACTGCATCAGTATTATCGACCATCTCGCATAGTTGCACTGCAGTTACTAGTACCAAAAGCTACTTCAGTGATTAGTTCACATTAGTATCTATACAGACAGCGCAGCAAATACGCACCCAAGCAGCATGCATTCATAAATTGCACGAGAAAAATACGTGCAATTTACGAATGGTCTTTAAAACGTTCAAGTTAAACGTAAAAATATCATAAAAAGTGTCCAGTGGCAATTACTAGATATTTATGTATATTTTTACGTTATACCATACGTAACTTTTACGTAAAATTTACGTATATTTACGCGAGAGACTGCTGTTCATTCTTAACTTTATAATATACGTAAATTTCTGGGATTTACGTATATTTTTAGTAAAAATTTATGTATATTTATCGCATATACGTAAATCTCAATTTTTTGCTTCACGTATGCGTATATATTTAGTAAAAATTTACGTAAATCTCCCCGATTTTTTACTGTATATAAACGTATATATTAAGTAGAAATTAAGGTAGCTATTCCCCGTATTTTAAGGTACAAAAACGTATATATTTGATAGAAATTAACGTATATATTTCCCGTATTTTATGGTACAAAAACGTATATATTTGATAGTAATTGACCTAAATCTTCCCTATGTTTCTTTGCATATGTGAATGACTGGTAAAAATTTAATCCGATGTCTTCTCCGCTTTACTGTGTATAAATGCACATTTTTGGTAAAAAATTTGCATAAATCTCCAATTACCTTTTTACTGAATTTTTCGTAAAATATACTTATTTTAATCTCATATTTTTTATATAAATCTATGCAAATCTTTCTGCATGCTATGGTTAAAAGGTAAAATGTCATTTTTATATCAAATTCTTACATATCTGCCTTTTAGTTATATACAGCAATATGGAATATATATAACTGGAAAATTTAAATGCACTAGTAAATGAAAAAAAAAATAAATAAAAATAAAAAATTAAAAATTTCTATTCAAAAATTACGTAACACTTAAAGGCTGAAAATAACTTTTAATATTTCATTTCAAAATGACTACAAAATATGCAATAAATTTCGTAAGCATCAATTCTATGTTTTAAATCAATTATTGCTATCATTCATTTACATTTTTGTTTACTAAATACATTTCATAGATTTAAATTCAGTAAACAACTGTAGCAAACATTTGTTTACTAAATTCATTATTGCTAAATAACACTTTAAATAAATTATTTGCTTTTCCGAAGGACATTTTTTTATGCCATGAAAATGAACGATAGCATTAATTGATTTAAAACATAGAATTCAGGTTTACAAAATTTATTGCATATTTTGTAGTCACTTTGAAATGAAATATTAAAAGTGATTTTCAGCCTTTAAGTGTTACGTAATTTTTTAATAGAAATTAATTTTTTGCATTTAAATTTTCCAATTTAAATGCAAAAAATTATTCCATATTGCTGTACATACCTAAGAGGTGGATATGTAAAAATTTGATATCAAATTAACATTTTATCTTTTAATCATAATATGCAGAACATTTTTGCATAGATTTATATAAAAAATATGAGATTAAAATAAACATTTTACGAAAAATGCAGTCAAAAGGTAATTGGAGATTTATGCAACTTTTTTACCAAATATGTGCACTTATACACAGTAAAGAGCAGACATTGGACTAAATTTTTGCCAAAGTCATTCGCATATGCAAAGAAAACAGGGAAGATTTAGGTCAATTATTATCAAATATATAAGTTTTTGTACCGTAAAATACGGGAATATCTACGTTACTTTCTATCTAAAGTACAATATAGTTAATTACCAAATTCAGTAAACGACTGTAGCGCAAAAGAAAACATCATACATTTAGATTATTTGAATGAGTGTGCTAAATTTTAAAATTGTTAAATATAGAACCAGGAGGGATATTGTAGAAAACTTACCTTTTCCAATAGTTACGAAGTTGACTTTTTGCTTATTTTCCTTGAAGATGAATGTTTAATGTC